TTCGTGCTTCAACTCGAAGTTCACCACATAATGAACTTCATAAGGATGTGGAGAACGTTATCAGTACTCGTTTTTTAGTAGCACAAGTTCGTCCTCCGACTTGAAGTTCCACCACCTAATGAAATAAGGATTTGGAGGAACAGTACGATTGTCCTGGCGAGCATGTTGTAATTTTAACCGCGCACCGCGCGCGGATCTTTTGTCGAATCCTAAATCGGCTCTGGCACAGGCCAACTAGCTCTACTTTCTTCTGAGACGACGAACGGGTACCGGATTTATCTGGAATGATGAAACTCCGACTTGTACATCGCTCAACCTAAGTCACTGTGCTTCTTTAGCCTGGTCTGTGAACTACTGGGATCTGAATGAAACAGAGCGCGTGGCATCTCCAAAATGTTATCAAATAATATCGCGAATCATGGATCGATTAACCGATGCTTCATCACTTTTCAGACTCTCTCAGAGTCAGTCAGTCAGCGACTTTCTGTGACTCCCTCAGAGTCCTCAGATGAGGGGATAGACGTTCGACCAATTATCAGAAACAATAAGACGCGACATCGACAGGGTTGAGAGAAGTCCGAAAGTGAACGAAAATGGCTCGCTTGGCCCAACGCTGCTAGCGACGAAATACGAGTTCACGATTACATTGTTCACATCTTCGATATCCTTCATGACATCCGAGCGATTATCATGGATCTGTTATAAAAGTAACGCTCGACAGAGCTTTTGGCATATGCGCATTTTTCGCGGGAGAGCGTCTCCTGTTCGCTCCTTATATCTTGTCTGCGGTCTCAGCGTTTTGGCGGCTGTAGCTGGTTAAGGTCCATCTGGTATCGCCGACGATGAAGTCAAAAAGGAGATAAGAAGCACAAACAGGAGAGCTGGCGGTTCAGCCCTGTTCTCGCAGAGGCATGCAAGCATTCCGAAGGCTGTTCCTATCCAAGACAGCTTATCAACAGGTGCATGGAGAAGGAATGTGATTACGACGGACTGGTTCAGGAGTGTCGCCGTGACTATGTGCTACATGAATATCCCTTGAAAGGAATATTTTTGCAAATTCCTGCCACAATGCCGAAAAATGGTGCGAAGGATATGATATGCAACGAGATGACACCAGCTCCCTTCAAATGGTGAGCAGTTGGCGTGGCAAAAAAATGGTGAGATTTAGCGCTTGCCAGTAGGGGGATATGCATGATCCATCATTGAAACTAAATACATCACCCCTTTGGCTTCCACTATCCCTAAAAAGTCAAACTTGAGGGACGAGAAGGCTAGTGAGCTTCCATCCGCTCCTGATAGGATATGGAGACTTGAATAGGGGAGCGTTCAGGTGATTCAGGTAGGATGTGATCTCCTAGTCCTCCAATAGTGACACGGCATGTTTTCCCACGTGCAAATTCTAGTCGATTGCAGTTTACGTTGCATAGGAAATCTAAAAGTTTGAACAAAACCTTTTTTCCTGGTTTGACTTGCATATTTTTTGGAGCCATCCTACTATGTATAATCCGCTATGTCCGTGCATGTGTGTGTGCGTCTGTCTGTTTGTCACGAAATCCATAGCGCTCAGTAACGGTGGAACGATGGTTCTAAGATATGATATAGGGTTTGGGACAGGAATATTATTGGTCTGTGTCAAAAAATGATAACATTTGATAAAATCCGATAAGGGGTGTTAGAAGGTGCAGGACATCAAAGTCGTAGCTCCGGTTGAAGCCACAGTGAGAGGCTAGTTCCAAGATATGATGTAGGGTATGGGCCATCAATATTGTTGGTGGGTCACAAGAATTGCGAGCTGCTGATAAGATTCGGTAAGGGGCCTCAGAAGGGGAGAGTCACCATATTCATACTGCGGGTGACAGCAGGAGCGAGGCGTTCATTTCAGCAAGTGATAGTGAGGGTGAGATGGGAACATCGAAGGTGGGTGAGTAGAAGCGATAGCTACTGATAGGCTCAATGTTTCTTTACTATGCCGTACAGGTTTTTATGGTGGAAGTGTTTATTTTGCCTGACGTTTCGACGGTATCGTCGTTATCAAAGGCCTGAAAGCATATCGAAACTCATGAAAGCTATCGATCCTGTTCAACCTGAACCCGTTCTTGACTAGTTGCAACCCAGACCAAGAAGCTACCAACGAAAGGAAACTCAAAACTTCAGGTTACCTTTCCACTCCCACCAGCACCAACGATCTGCTCGATTTCGACACAGTGGAGCAAGTGAGACCGACCGAGCACTGCTACAGAATGATAGCATGCACGTGTTCTCACTGTTAGAGCTCACACAGTGGAATATAGGGCAAGAAATCGGCCGTTATTGAGATGCACTCATTCCTGTTATTCATACATGGATTACGGTGCTTAATCCAGAACGCCGCAATCCATGTGTCAGTAACAGGAACGAGTGCATCTCATGCAAGAGAGCTCCATGATGGCTGTGATTTTAGCGTCAAGTGCATAATATTGGCCTACGAAAACGATGTTGGTGCCCGGAAAACCTTTGAGGCGTTCTGGATTAGGCACCGTAATCCATGTATGAATAACAGGAATGAGTGCATCTCAATAACGGCCGATTTCTTGCCCTATATTCCACTGTGTGAGCTCTAACAGTGAGAACACGTGCATGCTATCATTCTGTAGCAGTGCTCGGTCGGTCTCACTTGCTCCACTTGTGTCGAAATCGAGCAGATCGTTGGTGCTGGTGGGAGTGGAAAGGTAACCTGAAGTTTTGAGTTTCCTTTCGTTGGTAGCTTCTTGGTCTGGGTTGCAACTAGTCAAGAACGGGTTCAGGTTGAACAGGATCGATAGCTTTCATGAGTTTCGATATGCTTTCAGGCCTTTGATAACGACGATACCGTCGAAACGTCAGGCAAAATAAACACTTCCACCATAAAAACCTGTACGGCATAGTAAAGAAACATTGAGTCTATAAAAATGCCCAGGTTGCAAGAAAGGCGAACATGGAGGCTACTGATAGGGGCTGATAAGAGACGTCCAGTCGCCGTCGCTGTGGAGGGCGGCAGCTTTCACATTACCAAGTTATAAGGATTTAGTGATAAGGACATTGATGACGGGTGACAGGTAATCATATCATTCGATAAGAATGGATAAGATACCATCTGCGCTACATTTTTATCACTTCTTACCGCTATAATGCCAAGTATTAGAGGCTCAGTGTGTGAACTCTTTCTTTCGATTTACTGTGTCAAGGTCGCCCACTGAAGTGTTTGCTATTAGATGCGTGAAATGATGTCGAGTGGGGGGGGGGGAAGGGATATATAGTGCGCCCAAAACGAGAAAATCTAGAAACGTGAAGTATTCTTTTTCAGTGCCTGCAGTTGTGCCTCTTTCGGGGCAAAGGCGCTTATGTCACACTGCTCACCCGGGCTACGGCGTTACCCATTCTGATGTCGCAACTGCTGTCGCTAATGAAAGATGCAACCTTCTCACGGATGAAAGTCAGTAGTTAGCAAGAGGGACCAGGGTTGATAGATAGTGACTGATGTTGAGCTATCTCAACTTGAGTGGAAAGTAGCTGTCATTGATTGGCTTATTTTGACCTACCTGGCCCAAGGAAAGAGTGCCTGGCGAAGCCAGGTGGCTCGTAAAACAAAGGAGGAGCGCCAAGCGTTAGCTGGACGATCCAACTGGTGGTCTCATAAAAAGCCAGCTGAGTGTACTTTGCGAATTCTCCTTGAACCATAGGCCCAGAATAGCGAAAACGTTTGATGAACGTCTCAATGTCTTTCTGGCCGATCGTCGACTATCTAGCTGATCGGGGCTGCTTTGGCACAGAAGCAAAGTCCTGATTGCAACGATAACTGCTCTGTGCTACGTGGCCATTTGACAAGAAACTGGTATCATTTTGCTGCAGATTAGATTATCGAAAGTCTTTGATAAGTCCTGAACGCCATACTGAGGGAAAAATCAACAGCTGTTCGATTCGTCGCAGTTTCGACTTGAGAATGGACCCGCCGACTCCATCCAAGTTGCTAGTCGTTCGATGGAGGAGGCCAGATGAATGAATTCAATCTCGACATTAGTAGTACGGGCATTAGTAGTACATTAGTAGTAGTGCATGTGCTCCACCCCAACTACGTCGTCAATCGTGGTCGCCGGAACATCTCTTCCCAGGGTTACAACGTTCCGTATCTGGAACTTACGCTAGCAGCGAAAGCAGATGCAAAGGCTGAAGCAACTGCTCGGAACGCAGTATGGAAGAACTGGAGAACTGTAACTGG